GCCTAATGTAACCTAGCTATAGCTATCATCCCTCTTTGTACTCTGTAACATCTAAACTGAATAAGATTAATTTTAGAGAGTTCTACCTCTCTCGTGCACTAATTTTTATTATCAGATAACCACGAAACTCTAGTATTTGTGTTTTTATTTTTCGACTTCTTATCACCTTCCTTCTGGATAGAAAAATTATTGTCTTTAACCATTGATCTTTCACAAAGGTGTAGCAAATTAAAGCTATTGTTTTATGAGTAGAGAGAGTAAAATTTCTTAAAGAAGTAAGAAAAGAGTATGATGGGTCAGAGGGCCTGGAGGTTTCACGTACGATGGGTCATCCGCAAAAAGGTTAAAAAACGAAATTTCCGTCTTTGGCATCATAGTTGTCGTTTCCCTAAAGAGATAATATGGGTGTCGATAGATCTTTTAAAGGAACCTATGATCATTATAATCTTGGGCAATGTCTATTTTTTACCCAAACCTTTTTCAGATTCTTTTATTTTAACCAAACCTATTGAATTCCTAAAAATTATCCAAACGTTAACTCCCCGTCAACTTTTCTGTTAGTAATGCTGACTAAGTATGACCATAATGAGTTGACTTCTTACGTGGCGGTCAGAATACCATCATTTACTATTTTTAATAAAAAGATTATCAAAAAACAAAACAAAATCCCACCTCTCACGTGGACGAAATAAGTAACGGTAACAGAATGAATGCCCAGACTTTGATAAATTATAATACGTTTGGATAATAAATAGAATTTCTATAGGTTTGGTTAAAATAAAAGAATCTGAAAAAGGTTTGGGTAAAAAATAGACATTGCCCTATAATCTTTATGGGAATGATACTATAATAACTATTATAAGAATAAGTTAAAGGCATATGCATGCTTTGTTAAGCACATAATGACGAATGATTATATATCCACTATTACACTACAGGCAATTAGTTTCAAAATCGGGTTTAAGAAGATGCAATTTTGTGTACGCCTTAAAATGTCTTGTCTAGTACCTAGTTAGACAATTAGACATTCATAACATCTAGGCGACGTCGTTTGGGCAAAGCTAAGTATGATTAATTAGCGTGGGACATGATTAATCTAAGTGAGGCATGCTTAATGCACTAACAGTCCGAGAATTAAAAAGAATTTATGTCTAATCTTCCCAAAATGACACTATATATCTCCCAATCCTCTCGCCTTCTCTTCACCATCGTCGACTACAGAGCAGCCATAACCCATTCGTTCTATAAACTTGTGATTCTAGGAAATAATTACATACTTCGATTGTTGTTAGGGGTTAGCTAAGTTATTAATCATTTGGAATAGAACTAAAGTAAGAACATGCTATAAAATTGCTATTTCTACTCAAAATGGCTATTTTTTGCTAACGCGCCTAGCACCTTGTTGAACCTTGCTCAAAATATATGTTGGGTCTAAAACTAAAAGTGTTTTTTAAGTTTATTAAGAATTCAAGACAAGTATCCAACTTTTTATCCCGTATAAAATAGAGGGAGTGACGTAGTCAAAATTGAAGTTTAGTGGGATATAAATAGATTTATGTATTGAATTGTAAAGGACATTATCTTCAATATATCCAATCAATTAGTCACTCATCCTATGACATTCACATCCTAAAACTATTACAAAGTTTGCATTTAAGTCCTTAAAGTTTCTTACCCGGAAAACAAACGTTGAACCCCATTTTGAAACCAAATGCTTGTATCTTTGATCGATATTGGTGAGATATCGTAGCATGTGGCAAATCATCATTTAGCCAGTAATAGTGATTGAATGAAAGAAAGAAAGAAAATTACTTTCAAATAATGTAAACAAAAATCAAGCATATATGAATTCTGACCAGCAAAACGATGAACCCCAGGATTTCCCAACAATGAATTATACCATACCAGATCTGCTTGACCTGCCCATGGGACATCACATCATATTCACCATTATTTGAAAACTTGAACAAGAAAGAACGCAAAAGTCTGATTGATCGTGAATACTCCACGTGAGAGATCAGCCTCTCCAGTGGCGGAGCCAGGATTTCAAACTACCCCTGTCCTATTTTCATAATATAAATATTTAATTAATAATTATTTAATAAATAAAATTAAAACTAATTATATCCAAATAATTCATTCACATATAAAAAATAATCGACCAATAAAATCACTGTTTTTGTAAGCAGCCATGACGAAATTTCATATTGTGAAAGAAACACAAAAACATTTGTTGTCTACACTGTTAAGTAAGTCTCTTTTAATATATCACACTAAACAATCATTAGCAAAACTGGTCGTCAATTCGACTTCAAAACTTGTTCTTAATACAACTCAAGCTGAAAATGTTCTTTCTGTACTTGTAGTTGCAAATTGGTAGAATCAAAACTAGTGGAATTGCCTCTGTTGCTGAAAAATTTCAGGATTGTTGGGGGAAAATGAATAGACATAAGGAGAAAAAAGATTTTGTTAGGTCTTTATTGCTATTAAAAGTTCGTGTATAGTATAGTAAATTAATTTTATGTCAATTTATGAATAACTAATAAGTTGTGTTGTACTGATAAAATGCTCTAATACAACCTTTTATTGTTTGTTCCATCATCAATATAAATATATATATAGTTATTTTTTCCACTCCGAAATTTGCCCCTGTCCCGTGACAAGGGCTAATGCCCCTGCCTCCGCCTATGAGCCTCTCCAACTTCTTATCTTATTGTGTGTTGTACTAGCAGCTAGGGCTACATATGCACTTTCCTCTCGCACTCGAGTAAGGAAACTTAGTTTCCATGCAACAAACAGTTGAAGCAACCAGAACTTGGATTGACTTGGACTTGAACTTGGACTTAGACTCGGGCTCGAAAGCGGGCTCGTCTCGGCCCAATATTGTGTCTCTCCATCAGGACATCTTCTAGATGGCCAGGCTTCACTCAAGAGCCCATGTATTGGTAATAGGCTTTCTGGTTTGTGAGTTGGTTGGGCTGTCATGGGCCTAAGTTGAAAAGGTTTCATTCATATGCATCCAATTTCCAATCCTAGTGAAGTGAAGTGAAGTGAAGTCCAGTGAAAGTGCAGGGAAAATGCAAGGAAAGAAAGTGACCAGTTGAGCGAGGCAGTGGTTTTCCTAAACATATATTAATCCGACAAGAGTCCTCTCTGGTTGACGGCTGGATGGATGGGATTCATGAGTTGTGGAGTAGAAATTGGGAGTGTTAATCAAACTTCATCAATCATATTATGGTGGAGCGGCTTGTTTATTGTTTAAGGGCCTGAAGTACCGCATAAATTTCAAGGGTTACAAAACTAGTGTTTTATAATTTTTAATAAGAATCATATCACTAAATTGTATCGTGGTGGTAAAACACAAGTTTTTATAGGTTTTGTAGTTCTGCAATTTATATTCTATATATATTTTTTTCCTTATTTAGATTGAAAATAAAGTTATTCGAAGTCAAGTTTTGTACATATCAGAAACTATGATGCACATATAAGGCCTAAAATGATGAATCTACTAATTACCATTGTCATGTAAGAAAGATGTAATACATGCTTAGTTAATTAACAAGAACACACTATCTTGGATATGATTGTAACCTCATCGTCATTATTGTTTCCCAACAGTAAACTTTGTTTTTCTTTGTGTTGCTGAACACCCCAAATGGTCGTATATTATACGGCCGTCTCTCGTACATTAATGTCCATACTTAATTATGTTGTCGACTTCACATGCACTATTCTTCCGTTGGCACCAACTTCCTCCAGTCCACGCTCAAAACCAGAACCTTCATTCGCGACCAGTCCAGGTAAGTTACAGCTAGCGCCTAGCTGGCCTGGCCGGACACTAACACGTGTTTGGAGCAAGAGTGTCAACCCTGTTTGGTACGTTGGCCTGATCAAGTAAGTGGGTTGACACTTGACAGTTAATGTTCTGATCGCTTTATTCTGGATATATAAAAGAAAGTCATTATATTGTTCATATATTTATTAATTACATCACATATCATCTAACATATGATTCATAATATAATAATAAATCAAGACAACCGTCCTTACTTGAATTCAACATAAAAGTGAAAATTGAAACACACTCATATCACATCAATATTCAAACGTTCAACTCGGAATTGCACAAATATAATTTTGGCAATGGAAAAAAAATCGAAAAAGAGGCGTATTCAACAAATCAAAGGAGAAAAACAACGATGTATGACCTCCAACTCGGGAAACTACTATAGATCAACCCGCAAGTGTGTGGCGCATTTTCCCCCCCTCACCTGGTGATCAGGATCAACCAGCGAGTAGTAATGGCAACGCGGCGGGGTGGGTACCTCAATGCTCATGCCCCGCCCCCACGCTACTGCGGGTCGGGGAGGGCGAGTCGACCCACTCTTACATGTTATTTGACAAAAGTACACACAAATTTCACCGTTTATGATCAGACGAAGGGGGAAACACCTTATAAATGAAAAATAGTGATAATTGAATATGTAATTGAGTCTAGCCAGTTGAAAGTGACATATAATGGACCAAAAACCGAACCAAAACAGAATAGTGCAGGTCGAAAATAGATATCAATATCCTGTCCCACACGAATCGAAAAAATACCCGCAGAACGGATTCAAATTGCCATCGCTACTACTCGCCACCGCAAGTTGACCACGTTGGTTCGGAGTGTCACCTCACAGAAAAGAAACTACCTCCCAAAAGCACTGCTCCAAAAAAAAGTTCCCCCAGGAAGTGACCGCGTTATTTACCCCTGCTGCCCATCACTTCGCTTATAAAAATACAACCACACCCCCTTTGTCCTCTTACCACAAATCACAATCAATCATCTTTTTTCCCCCTAATCCAAACCGTCCCCCCTGAAAATCCTTCCCAAACCATCCACACACATAAATTAAAAAAAAAAAAGAGCCTCCCATCACACACAAAAAAATTCGAATCCCATTTTTTTCCCCATATATACCTTCCCCTAAAAATAATTGTCCTAAAATCCATCACACATGGCCGCCAACCGCCTTGACTCTCCCCCTGAGCCCTCCCAAACTAACCAACAACCACCGCCGCCGCCGTCTTCTCCCCCTAGCCCTTCTTCGGGCCGGTACAGAGGTGTCCGGGCCCGGAGCGGGAAGTGGGTGTCGGAGATCCGGGAGCCCAAAAAGACGACCCGGATTTGGCTGGGGACGTACCCGACCCCGGAGATGGCAGCCGCAGCATACGACGTCGCAGCGCTGGCGCTCAAGGGGCCCAACAACACCCTCCTCAACTTCCCCAACTCCATCTTCTCCTACCCTATCCTCCCTCCTTCCGCTTCCGCCGCCGACATTCGCGCGGCCGCCGCCAGAGCTGCCCTCGCCCTCCTGCCCAAACCGGTTTCGGTCCCAACCGCCGCTGGTCCGGCCGCCGCCTCGGAGGACGAGGAGAGAGTGATTATTGAGGACATGGATGAGCTGCTCAACATGCCGAACCTGCTGGTGGATATGGCGGGAGGGATGATGGTCAGCCCGCCGCGGATCCATACGACGTCGTACGAACCGCAGGATGATTCGTACGGCGGCGGCGGGGAGTCGCTCTGGTCGTATCACTTGGGAAAGTGAGAACAGGAAAAAAAAAAGGAAATTTACCATGGTAAAATCTACACTACTTATAGAGAAATTTTTTAACTATTATTATTATTACACGGCATGTATGCTAACGTGTTGGTTTCTTTCAGCCCCTAATTACTGGTACGTACTGCAACTACTATAGCTTTTTAATTACCAGATGTGTATTATTTTCAGTATTTGTGGGGAGTAATTATATATATATAGATAGATAGCAGCAACGTAATGTTCTGTTTGTGGAGTTGCATGGCACGATTAACAGAATTTGTGTGTGTACAGAAAGAACAATTTGTGGCAGGTTAGAGATGGAGACTCGTGCTGCATGCCATGGTTTTTCTGTGCAGGCAGGCAGGTGAAAAAACAGAAAGAAAAAATGAACAGAGATGTTCATCATATATTCTATTTCATGCTTTGGCTTATCAGAATTTATTATGGGTCCTTTGCCAGGCCGTACGCGTCTCTGCTGCTGGTTTTAATTTGGCGGGGGAGATGGAAATAAAAACGTTTTGCTGCTGGAGCAACAGGTAATTAATTAGCATCCAATAAACCATTTTAAGGGGGTTTGCATATTGACTACATAACCGCGGCCTTTCCCATCCCTACGGGACTGCGGATCTTCCGAAAAACAATCACCTCTAGGCTTGTTAGCGTTGCGGTGTATGATTCACGATTGAACCTCTTCCAACAACTCGAATTATTGGAATCAACTGGTTCTTGACAAAACTGATGCATGATGCATACAATATAATCCCCGCTGGGAGAAGACTCCTGTGGGGTCGAAATCCCATCGATCCCCGCCGCGAGATTCATGCCGGATGAGAGATCCGGACCAAGAACGTCAGAGTTTGGAAGATCTGTGTTGAGATATGTGGTTTTCTGATTTTTTTTCATATCTATGATGATCTGGTACTGGTTTTCCCTTCACTTATAGTGGTAGTGTTTTGTAGCGTTAGTGCTTTTTTCTTTTTTTTTGTTTAGATCTGTGGTTTCTGATTTTTCATATATGTGATCAGGTAGTGGTTTGCCCTCACTGCAGATAGAGTTTTGTTTTGGAACGGTAGTCTTTTTTTTTTTTTTTTGGGTTCTGGTAGTGGTAATGTTTTTACTTGGAAATGATTTTTGTAACGCTATTATTTTTCGTAATGATAGCAACTGGTATTGTTTTTTTTTTTTTTCCAAAATTCATATATGATTTTTTTATTCTAGTAGTGATTCTCTTGCAGTGGCAATGTTTTGTTAGGTGAAGGAAGTCTGCGGGAGGAAGACAGAAAGGTGGTCAGAGAAGCAGAAGGGGTGTGAAAGGGATACTTGAGAAAGAAAAAAATGTGATTAATAGAAATTTTTAATTTTAAAAAATGTAATATTTATAATTAATAATTAATAAAAAAAAATTTATCATACCCAAATTGTCTCTACTTTGAACCTCCAAACAATGAGGTGTTGCACGTACAGAGACCAAACGTTGATATAGCTACTGGCTTCGATCTCCATGGAGTACAAAGTAAAGTGCCGCAACCAGCAAACTAGGCCTGCACTTTTTTACATTTTGCATGCTGGCCTACGTATACTATATATATGCCTCCGTTCTTATCTATTATTTGTATTTTAATAATTTCGAAAAATTTGAATTATTGACTTTCATTTCGAGATTAAATGAATCTTAAAGTTTGGCTTAGAAATGTTGGGACTATGGTTCAACCATTAGAGGTTAGGGTATAGTATCATGCCCCGAACTCTGGTTAATTCATGATCTAAATAATAAAACTCGACTAGCGAACGCTAGCCTGAATCATATATATACTTTTCTTCTTGGTAGCAATTTACTTGGTGCATATTCGAAGTAAAATTCATTATTCCTTCCACTGCCCTAAAGCAATTTTCTTAAACTCCTTACCGACGAACATTGTACCAAGTAAATTATTCTTTCGATTATAAATAGAGGTGACAAATGAATTTAATTCATCGAATGATGGATCGAATTGGTGGATCCATGGATCAAATGGATTGGTGGATTCATGGACTGGATCAAATGGATTAGTGGATTGGATCAGATGACATCTAAACATTGGACCAATATGTAAAATTTAAAAAAGATTAGGTACTAAAATGTCATAATAATAAAAATTAATGTACAACAACGTAACTTTCCAAAGATATTTTGTTGAATAATAAATTTTAGGTATTAAACTATAAAATAAAAAAATAGGTACTAAACTGTTATTTACCAATGATCCATGAATCCACAAATCCAATTTGAATTTGGATTTAATGAATTCAATTAGTTGGATATTTAATTGGATGGATTAGATTGAATTGGTGGATTGGATTCAAAATTGTCAGGTCTAATTATAAGTCACTTGTGACTAACACATAGCTAGATTTCCCACAAGAAAGTGGTGTAGACACCTTTTTCAATCATGCACTATCCTTTGTCAATCAACTCTAGAAGGGGAGGAACACAACACCTGGTGATAGCAGTGACTCGATCTAACTACAACATCCCAATCGACGGTCAAGTATAACCGCCGACCAGATTTAGCATAGGGCAAGCAAGCAATAAGAGTTTATCATACCACAGGGATATATGCTTACCCTACTTCAAGTTTAGGGTTAATTATCTAGTCAACCTAGGATAATGATTAATAAAACTAAGCTAACTAACATATACTAACCACTAACCTAGCTATTTACAAGGTTTGAAGCTCTCTTGGGTTAAAGCCCCCTTATTTCTAACCTTGGGATTGATGTTGAGTACTATCCTAACTCAATCGATTCACTATCCTACCGTTATGAGATTGACTCACTCGGGACAGACCCGGAACGGCGAAGTGATGGATTGGTAGGAGCTCTATTCAAACTAGGGTTTCATATATTGCTAGGAGACCAATGGAATCAACTCCCTCGGGGATTACCCGGACAATATACGATAGGAGTGACCCGAAAACGCCAATAGGGGGCTCTAAGGGGATTTTCTCCCTCCTAGGTCAAACCTCAATTGACAAGTCAAGGAATTCAAACTCATTCAATCCTTCCAAACATGCATCAAATAGATAAATTCATCAATCAAAGGTAGAATTTGTCACATTCATCAACAATGAAACAAAATCTAGACCTAGGATTCTTAAACCCAAGAGAAGAGGGTGAGTTTCTAGAGAGAGAAGAGAGAAATTATAAATTGGAGCCCAAGATCTTCTTCTTCTTCTAGGCTTGATTCCTTGCTTTCAAACTTTATCAATACCTTCAATTAAGCTCCAAGATCACTCAAGAACTCACACACACTCTCTCTCTAGAACTCCCCTTTAGTGTTTTGGGTCGAAACCCTAGAGAAAGAAACTATTTCCTCTCCAAAAACCAGCTCTCCCTTTGCTTCCTTCTGCTGCTGGCTTTTATACCCAGATCGAAGGCCGTTCACGGTCTGAGTTCACGGCCGTGAACTCAAAGCATGGACCGTCATCTCGGCCAGAAACGCGCTGTTTCACTACACCACTGCACGGTCTGGAGTTGAAGTTCACGTTCTTACGACCGTGAACTGACTTGGCGTCAGTAACCTGTAGAAACGCTCTGGAACCTGGCCAGTTCACGATCACGGGGCAATTGTTACGGACCTTGGGCATTTTTTCACCTTTTCACGCTTTTCGACCTCCAATCGACCCGAAACTCGTCCTCGACCTTCCCACACGTACTAGGACCTGAAATGTAACAAAACAAACATAACCTAGCGTAAAATAGGTCGAGGGACGGTAATCTACTAAGCAAAATGGATAAGAAATGAGGGGTAAAATGTGTACATTTGGATCCGAATCAAGCAGAAACTAGGTTGCCCCTTATCTTTGCCTTTGGCCTTTGTTAATTAAGGTTACAACGAACTATCAAAGTAACCCTTTACCTTGTGTTAGAATGGACTAGAATGTTGACAATGTAAGAAAGTAAAGAACACACATATTTACGTCGTTCACTAACACAATGTGTGTTAGTTAGTCCACGGGTAGAAGAGAGTCAATTTCACTATACTTGAGTATATACAGATTGCTTAGGGATATGAGAATTGAGAAGTATATATAGTACTTCTCTGAACGATCTAACCCTAATCCAATCTAGTAAAGAATAAGGTTACATACCAGGCTAGAATAGAAATCTAAAGTACGTATAAGCCCATACACCGTCTCGGGGGAACCTTGCTCCGCCGAGCCCCCTACCCGGGCGCTTCGCTCTTGGACCATAAATTATTGATCCAATGACTTCAAGTTGACAAAATATAATTCGATTTAACTCATATCAATGCCTTGTATACATATGGTTAGGGGTGGGCACGCGGGTGGTTAATCCGCGGGTTGCCATCAATCCACCTGGAAATAACCCGAATCGCAAGCAGTGGGTGGATTATGGATTGATAAATCTTCTACCCCCACTTATGTGGGTGGATTGCGGTTTCACCGAATGATCTGCCCCATAATTTCACATGACAAAATGTTGTTTCTTATACTAACGAATATTCATCATGTTTTCTAACCACAATACACACTGACCATCTAGTTCTAAATGTGGAGAATAAAGAATATGTTTGGACTACTATTACTGATTAATTGTATTAAAGTAACAAAATGCATTAGTTGTCTCTACACAATCGATGGAGTAATGAAATTTTGATGCAAAAATTACATAGATTCACATGAGATAAAGTGGGAGTTTTTAAATTGATACAGTCTTTACTAATTTCTAAGAACTTATTATACATGTTAGTCAACTTTCTTAATCAATGGTCAGTTGGAGAATTATTTTTGCGGGTTAACCCACAACCCAACAACACGCATCCGTCACTCACCCAATCCAATCTACTAAAGAATGCGGGTAGATAACGAGTTACAATTATACTAACCCGCTAATAAGCAGGTGGGTCAATTTGAGCGTAAAACTCACCCAACCCGTCCATTGTCAACTTCTACATATGGTAGCTAAAGACTAAAATGGCATATAATGCATTAGACATATACGTT